CGGACGTTTATAATGCAATTTTGACGGCATGGAGCAAATGGAAATCAAGGACAAACAGGAAAACCGTCCTGCCTGTGAATTCGACAAGAATGAGTCAACAAGCTGTAGTAAACAATTTACTCTTCTCCTTCTAAATTCCAGATGGCTTATTGGGATTGTGACAGGAACAGGAAATGAACCTCCCCACTTACTAGGCAAATACGCTGATTTTGCGAGCACTATTTTCAAAGATGAGATGCCCTTCAAGATGGTGGTGTTTTGTGGCGCTCATTTTTTTTAACTATACAAATACAGTGTGGAAAAGCAAAATAAATCGCAAAATAGTGGTGTAAGTTCTTAAAAATACCACATTACTTTAGTCACGCTCTAAAATACGGGAAATTTACAAAATACACAAATCACGAAAACAAAACAAAAAATCTTAAGATCTCTCTCTACTTTGCAAACTTTATGGTGATTTATGCTAGTGACCGCAAAAAGTAGGTGTAAAGCAACAGCAATTCATATAGTTAATGACCTGAGTAATTCAAGTCCGGTGCAAAAACGCATGATCGCACGGGCCCGCCCGGTGCGTTCCAGTCTGGGTTGAAAACTATACAAATACGCCGCGAAAAAGCAAGACAAATTGCAAAATAATGGTGCAAGTTCTTAAAAATACCACAGTACCCCCGTTACTCTCTAAAATATGGGTAATTTTCAAAATACACAAATTGTGAAAACAATACATCTCAAGATTAAGCTTTTCAGTTGTTTGTACCAAATCGCATCTAACGCTCACCAGAAAAACGCTTACGCTTCAGACTGCAACTTCGGTAGTCAAAGAGCTAAGTGACACTAATTACGGCTTTTGAACTGTACAAGCAGACTAATAAACGTTCCAGTATGAACAACTGCTGCCGAAAAAAAACTGTTCGCATAAACAATGGTGTTTTGACATACAGCTTATATCCTGGAGGGATCGAAAGCGACATAACTACACAATCACTGCACTTAAATATAAATATACAAAACCATCGTAGCACAAAAATCCTTTTCAACTCGCAAAATACTGTAATGGGCGGTTTCAGACTGCACAATAAAGTCCATCAAATCAAGCGTGCTTACATTTTCCACAACTGAAAAGTTGTGATAAAAAACTAAGGCAGTGTGTCATAAAGGACGCAAAAGCGCATAAACGTTTCTTTCAGAAGTGACCAGTGAAAATGCTTAAATTTCAAAATTTTTATCGATGTAAAAAAGTAAAAGAATTATATATTTTTTTTCTAATTTTCTCAAATTTTTCAATATTGCTGACATAGAATGAATACTCTTTGAAATAGCGCACTACAACTGCATGAACTGTTATATCAGCATTATTTTAATATCCATCCGGAGCTCGTAAGCAGCTATGCCAACGTTTTTTCTCAGGTTCTGTTTTCTGTAGTCTATTTGCCCCAACTTCGTCATACCACGCATCCAAAAAAACTGTCAAAAAGA